CAGTTTTACCACAATCAGGGCTTCCATGCCACTAAATTCTAGTAAAATACTCTCAGTCCATAGATCTACTTAACATTAATCTATTCATCCACAGACTCTTGGCCTCACAGAGGGGTGACTTGTGTCTGTGGGAAAATGCCCTGGCTTCAAATACAAACAGGAGAGCTTGGCAGGCCAACCACCCTGGCCAGATACTCTCTAGTCCCACTAGGACACACAGTAGGACCCTGTAGGGGCAGCAGGGTATGCCGGGTAATGGGATGCAAAATGATGTAGCTCTCCACTTGCTTCCCTGGGCCTCTGGATTCCTGGCTCTGCTCCAGCCAGGCAAGTGGTTTTGGAATTGTGGGGAAGAGGGTGGAGAGATAGGGTGGAGGCTTCCTCTAGGCCAACCACAACTAACTCTTTGACTCTGTCCAACAAAGCCCAGACGGTACAATTATCTGGCTAATCTGGCCCTTCATTGAGAGACCAGCTTAGACTAAACAGTGGCTTCCGTCTTAAAGCTTCTTTTGAGTGCTGGAGGATGAGTGTGAAGTTCCAGGGGGTTGGGGTTGCTTGTGTGACCCACCCATTGATCCAGATGGGCCAAAGACAAGCCATTCAGACTTCAAAAGGAGTTTGAGAAGGAGTGTCTTTCAGGGACAAATGCCCAAATGACATGCTAATTGGTTTCCTGACTAATTTACTTTCTAGCTTTCCATGGCTGGAAATGAGAATGACTACATCAGCCAGCATTTTCCAGTATAAGTGTCACCCCTGTCCCAGACTCCTGAAGTGTCCCCAGCATCCCTGTGTGGTTGTAGCAGCTCCCTCGGGTGTCCTTCCCTGCATACAGATTTGGTACCTGTCACTTGGGCCGAAGGCAGTGCTAAGATACAAGGGGGAAATGAAAGAATGCTTGGGAGTTACTACAAAGGAGATGAAGCAGCTCCAGCCTGGCTGGCAACTGAACATTTGCCAGATGGTTTACAGAAAACCGAGATTTGGGGGAAAAGATTAAAGAGAAACGATTTATCACTCTTGGAAACCGACACACAGCCCATAACTGTGGAATCTGTCAGTTATTCATTCTGCAAACATTTCCTTCAGTTCTAGTTTGTGCTGGGACCCATGCTACTTAACAGAGTAAGATCTGGTCAGGCCCCTCCCCACAGGCAAATAATCTCAAAATACGGGTGAGGGCGAGGAAGGAAGGAGGGGGTGCTGTGAAAGGACCCCTGAGCAGGAACTAACTAGGGAAGGGGTGTCTGAGGAAGCCGCCGCAAGGCCACGTCTTTTTTTGCTCCCTTGACAGATCACTCTAGGGCTAGTGAGATGGCCCAGTGGACAAACGTGCCTACTGTGCAAGTGTGGGGTCCCGACTTGGGGTTCTCAGAGCACACACTAACCCGGGTACAGTTGTGAGCATCTGTGTTCTCAATGCTGTTGGGGGGGGGCATAGACACGGGGCGCTCCAAGACAGCTAGCCTAGCACACAGCAGCACAACAAGAGCCCCTTCCTCACACCAGGGGGAAGGCGAGACCCAGCTCCCGAAGTGGTCCTCTGATCCCCACACACATGCATGGTACACATGCTCCTGCATCCCCCTCCTCACCCCCGCATACACACCAAAGACAGACCAAAAACATGGTTTGGGCATGAAGAGCAAACTGGAGATGGGTAAACATAAATAAATAAATAAAAACATGGAGCTGTACAGCTACTGGATGAAAGTCCGGCTGCGGGCTGGTGGTCGTCCAGCCAAGGTAGGTTCTCGACAATCAGCAGCGGAGGGACTAGGGAACCGTGAGATATGGAGTCAAGAGGACGTGGCAGAGGGTGGGTGTGGTGGCAGAGGGAGGTTGCACAAGGTTGTCGCTCAGGTGGAAGGGCCAGGTGGCACTCTCCACTGAGAGAGGGGCAGGGGCAGAGAGTGAGTTCTATACTGGAGTCAGGCAGTGGGACCGATGTCTCACCCTGCACTGGCCAGCTTCCTCTGCCCTTGGGCCCTCAACCTCACATGCTCTCCATGCCACCAGCTCCACATGTTAAGAGCCTAGCCACGCTTCAATCCAACTCAAACAGCACTCCATCCTCAAAGCCATTTCTGTTTATGGACGGGACCACTGCTTCTTTATCCTTCCCCACACAAGCTAGCTAGCACAGTAGACACTGGCAAATATTTGCAAAATGAACAAAAATAACCTGCTTTTTACCACGAAAGGAAAATGAGTAGACACTGGATTGACTTAAAAGCCCCTGGATCGTACTGAAGTTCAAAGTGTAGGTGTTTTAATATGAAGCCAACTCCATCAATCTGATGCTCAGAAGTTCGCTCCCTTCCTCTGACTCACGGGGGTGGGGTGGGGTGGGATGGGGGAGTCCAGGGAGTGAGGCTGGGGAGATAGGCCATTTCTGTTCCTGAGCTCCAAATGGTATTTCTTCCAGTTAATTTTATTCTTAGTCACTGAAGAATGATAAGAAGGAGAGGGGGAGGAGGGGAGGAAGGGTGGTGGTGTTGGAATGGAGTAGGAGGAGGGATAGAAGAGGGAGAGGAAAAGGAGATTTACTAACAGTGACAAGCACTAACAGCAAAAGAAGCAGCAGGAGGCTGCCTGGGATGAGGGGAAGCAGGGAGAAGAGGAGAAGAGAGAGGGGAGAAGAGAAGGAAAGGAGAGAGGGAGGGAAGGTAGAGAAGGAGGAGAAGAGGAAGCGAAACACTTGTGGTGTCCTGTCACTGACTCCTGCAGTCCTCCCAGCCACCCCGCCGTCACAAAACCGACGCCACTTTATCACAGGAGCACAGATGAAGGGCTGGAGAGAGCTCAAGTAATGCTCAGTCAGGACAACTAATGAAGAGGTGGAGTTGGGATTTGAACCTGGAATTTGACTCCAGAGCCCTCGCTCTGTGTGCCCTCCTAAGGTTGAGTATGGTGCTCCTATAAAGGAGGGTCTAGTTTATTGACTGGGGAGTCCCTGGTTGGAAACCAGGAGGGATGGAGTCCAGTCCTGATTTCCGATGCAGTCTGACCTAGTCCATGTTTCTACATAAAACAAGGGACCTAGATATTGATAACAGAAGTAATAATGAGGGATGATAGTCTCAATTTTGGTCTCTTGAAGTTTCAAATAATTTCATCCCAGCTACAATGATACAAGAAAATGACAGCACACAGAGAGTAAATCACCTGTCCAACACCTAGAAACAAGAGAGTCAGGATTCAAACATAGGCTCTCCCACTGTGCTGGCCTGAATGAGAATGCCCCCCATAGGCTAGTATATTTGGATACTTGATCTCTGGTTGGTGGAACTGTTGGAGAAGGATCAGGAGGTGTGGCCTTGTTGGAGGAGGTGTGTCACTGGAGGCAGACTTTTGAGTTATCGAAAGACTCTTTCCATTCCCAGTGTCTCTCTCTGCCTTCTACTTGAAGATCAAGATGTGAGCTCTCAGATGTTCCTGTCACCATGCCTTTGCTCTACCATCATGGACTCTAGCTCTCTGAAATCCTAAGCCCAATTAGATGCTTTCTATTATAAGTTGCCCTGGTCATGGAGTTTTGTCACACTAATATAAAAGTAACTAGTTGGGTGGTGGTGGCGTACGCCTTTAATTCCAGCACTCGGAGGCAGAGGCAGACGGGTATCTTTGAGTTCAAGGCCAGCCTGCTGTGGGATGCCCTGTATGCTATAAATATATGTTGCTATGATTGATTGATAAATAAAATGCTGATTGGCCAGTAGCCACGCAGGAAGGATAGTGTAGGTAGGACAAGAAGAGAGGAGAATTCTGGGAAGTGAAAGGTTGAGGGAGAGAGACGCTGCCAGCTGCCTCCATGGGGAGCAGGATGTAAAGTACCGGTAAGCCATGAACCACGTGGCAATGTATAGATTTATAGAAATGGGTTAATTTAAGATATAAGAACAGTTAGCAAGAAGCCTGAGCCATTGGACCATACAGTTTATAAATAATATAAGTCTCTATGTGTTTGCTTGGGTTTGAGGGCTGAGGGAGCCAGGCAAGAACAGGATAACTTCAATTACACCAGCCTAGTCGATGGAGTGAGTTCCAGGACAGCTAGGGCTACACAGGTCTCAAAAAACAAAGCAAAACAACAAAAACAACAAAAGTAACTAATACATCCACTATACTTCATAGTCAAAGTCAAAGGAGATGCCTTGGAGCCATGGGCCACGGATGGGACCCACAGCTTCCCGTGAGCAGCTCCACTGTCTCAGTTTTGTGGCATGGACTCCTTTTGACGTCTCCTTTAAGAAGAATTCTCTATCTGTGATGGTTATTCTTGGTTGTCACCTTGACTACGTCTGGAATTAACTAAAACCCAAGCTGCTGGGTATACCTATGAAAGGTTTTTTTTTTTTTTTCTTAATTAAATCATTTGAAGTGGGAAGACCCACCTATTATCTAGATTTTTTGAGGTGGGAAAATATACCTTTAATCTGGGCCACACCTTCTGCTGGCAGCCTATATAAAGGACATGGAAGAAGAGTGCTTACTCTTTGCCTATTTGCTCCCACCCTCTCTGGCAAATCCATTCCTTTACTGGCACTGGAGCCTTCTGCTTTGGAATTCTGGCATATACTGAAGACCAGTTGAGACAGTCAGCCTAGTGGACAGAGCAACTGCTGGAGTCTTGGACCTTCCATTGGCAGACAGTCATTGTTGGACTACCTGGACCACAGCCTGTAAGCCATTCTAATAAATCCCCCTTTACACACACACACACACACACACACACACACACACACACACACACACCCTATCAGTTCTGCTGTTCTGTTCCTCTACAGAACCCTGACTAATACTCTACCTAAAACTAAAAGGTTGAAAAATCAGTGGACCAGAAATTTCTGGAACTTAACGAGACTCTCAAGCACAAATCCAGGTTTTTTCTAGCAATCTTCGTTCATCATGACCACATAAGAGAGAAGAAACGTTGCTCTTGGAAATGGCCCCTGTTCAGAAAAAGGCAGGTGTGGAAAGGGGCCACCACCTACCTGTTCCACTCGTATCTCAACGTCGCCATTCACTTTCTTCCCATGGAAATACTTGGACCTGCAAGGAGACCAAGAGACCCGCTCAGGAAGGATCCATTGTCCCTTCTTCCCTTTCCCAGAAGCCTGAGCCCTAAAGGTGTAAACGAAGACAGTCTCAACCTGCCCCATCCTCCCCTGACCACCCACTGCCTTGGTATTTAGAGATAGAATGTTGGAGGAGAGGAGGAAGAGTGGATGGGACAAGAGGAGACTCCTGTACCTCAATTGCAGCCTCTAAAAGGAAGCCCTGCTCCCTGATTCTAGGGATGCTTTGAAAGACTCAATGAGACAAGGAAAACATAAACAGTGCAGTATTGATTTGGTGTTACTTTATTAAATTACATATATGTACTGCGTCAAAGACTTACTGATCTATCTGCTCCCTCATCTCTGTATCACATGTCTATTTGTCAACCACTGATCCTTTCATCCACCCACTGACCCTTCCATGACTCTATTCATAAAGCTAATTATCACCATGAGCCAGCAATCAAGGCAAAAGAGTCGATAGCATTCTTAAGACCTCACCCTCCCTTTCCACGCTGACCCCCCAACCTTCTTCTCAATTCCTCCCACTTTCCTCCATAAACACCCTACTCCTGACCATAGTTCATCTCCCTTCTGACATGACTGTTTTTCCTGCTGCTGATTACAAGTATAATTAAAATCAGTAACCGTGCTTAACACCTGTACCCCACTGCATGACAATCGGACTCCCTCAAGTCTGTGACCCCTCATTTTATCCTCAACACCACCAGAATGTGCAACACACCACAGGAATGCAATTGATTATCTGTTGAATTAATAAATAAACAAATAAAGGGATTAATGTGTTATAGGGTTTAATCTGTGGTCTTTTTCATTTAATGTGAACAACCACCATCATGAAGCAGGCATTTTTTTATTTCTATCCTGTCAAGGAGGAAACTCAATAATCCAGAGACTAAACACTTGCATATCCTAAGGGGGATCTGCACCCAGGCCTTCTTCTCTGTGTCTGTTTTCACTCAACCCTGAAACAGTCAGGACAGAAGGGTACTTAGGGGGTTAGATATCTTCCCACACTTAATGCGAAAGACCCAGTTTGCATTTCCCCTTTCCCACTGCTGTGGCAAGGAAACAAATGCTTGAGTCATTTGCTGTGACCCAGACACCACATTAAGTATTTCTACAAACCTTCCTAGGGTTGGAGGCAGCACTTTTCTTCCTCCTAGCTCATTCTCTCCTTTTCCCACAGCAGAAATGTTTATGGATTAGATAAACATTTATCTAATGTGGTCCCAACTCTCCCCTAAGTGATGTGTGGCCACATGACCCAGTTCTAATCAATAATTTGTAAGCATCACATTCAAGAACCTTCTCTTAAGTTTCTTCATTCGATTCTTTTCCCTGGAGCAGGGATGTTGCCAACTATTTTCCTAATCTTTGTTTGTGAAAGAATCCTTTCTACAAACTCTTAGACTGTTCCACTCGGTCTGTTTTCACAGCCCCCATCGATTCTCAGCCAATGCCGGGTCTTCCCAAGACCTCCAGCATCCTGGGCTGACAGCTGTGATGCTGGTGTCACTGTTTCTTACAGTGTTGACAGACTGAGATGTCACTGAGGCTGGACTTTTGTGGAACAGGAATGGTTGGTATGATCTGAAAGTGAGGTTTGTCTGTCTGTCTTTCCCTTCCTTCCTTCCTCCCTTCCTCCCTTCCTCCCTTCCTCCCTTCCTCCCTTCCTCCCTTCCTCCCTTCCTCCCTTCCTCCCTTCCTCCCTTCCTTCCTTCCTTCTTTCCCTCCCTCCCTCCCTCCCTTCCTTTCCCATTGATACTCTTCAATAAAACGTATGTTTAGCTAGCCTCACACAATGCAGAATTTCATCACAAATCCTCAACGAGCAAGTCCGCACATTCCATTCCACCTCCAGTATTTGTGGAGGAGAGAAAGACAACAAATGGCCTATGAGGTGTATGACTAATATTTAAAGCTGATGAGTATTCTAATTTTAGTTTTGTTGCTGTGGTACAAGATCTTACCAAAAGCAACTTTGAGATAGACGAAAGTATTTTGGCTTACAATTCCAGGTTATAGACCATCATTTTGGGGAAGCCAAGGCATGAACTCAAGCAGTCATAGCACATCTACAGTCCAGGGTGAAGAGAGGATAAATTCATCCCTGCCTGCTTGCCCTCATCTAGCTTTCTTTTGTAGGGAATGGCGCCCCTCACAATGGGCTGGGTTTTCCCAATGAACAATCAGGGCAATCATCCACAGACATGTCCACAGGCCAACCTTATCTAATCAATTCCTGTGCTGACACTCTTAGGCAATTCTACACTGTGGCAGGATGACACTTAAAACTATCACCATGAGTAAAGTTAGCAAACATCTAAATAAAATATCTGCATTCCTCTTTGATGACTACAACTCATAAGGTCTTAGAGTTCCATCCAGACTATGGCAGCATTGCAATGGCCAGCTCTTGGTCCTCGGTCCTAATCCCATGCTTCCCTGGTTTCCCAGTTACTCTCCACTCTGCCCTGTAACCCTGCAGATTCTGGTGTTCTCCCCCTAATACTTGACCTTCCCATCATACCTAAGAGGGGATGAGGCCGGGTCACTCCCCATATCCTGCAGACAGAGAAGTCACCTTTCAGTCTCATAACTTTTCCAGTTGTCCCACAGTTTCATATTTTCAGGATTCAACCCAGAACCTCAAGTTCCTTCCAGATGGGGACCCTGGCACCAGTTGGCCCACTTTATCCATGTGTTACTTTGCAGCTGCTTCCATGGACACACACACACACACACACCCCTGTGATGCTTCAATATGTCCTCTGCTTTTATGCTTCTGGTCTTTTGCACAGGCTTACATATCTGTTTTGCCAGGCCATCTCTTTCTCACATTCCAGAATCCTCAAGAGTGATATCTACTCTTGTTTTCTTTGGTAGCACCTGGGCTGGGTGCCCCTCCTCAGCCCCTGGGCACATCAAACTCTCAACCCTTATGGTAGCGTTCAGCCTTGTAATTCTACATTACGATCTGTCCTCTGCCTCCAAACATCCAGTCTGTGAGCTCCGAGAAACCAGAAGTTCTGTCTCAACATTCACTGCAAGTAATAGCACAAATGTGCAGGACTGTGCTTCCCACATGTTTGTTAGCAAGATAAGCGAAGTTTTCCTTGTCTCTGGCCTTCCTTGTGACCCTTTGTTGCCACCTACTGGCAAGTCATTGTAATAACTCACAGTTCTACATCTTTTATGATATGGGTTGTTGTGTAGATATCCAACCTGCACGACTGATAACCTCAGACTTGATTCCAACCTGGAACCCAGAACACTCTGCATTACATGCCACCCAAGCAGCTCTGGCCCCGAAGAGGCCTCACCTCCCCAGGAGTCTTTGGAATGTTTACTGCTGGAGCTGGCAGGCAGTCTCAGACTGAGGTGAGGGTCAGGCAGTCCGTCCCCCTGCCTGGCTGGGAGTCAGAAGTCTGTCTCCTGATGGGCCACACAGACTGCTGCCTCCTTGCTGGGGGTAGGGGGAGGTGGTGGTGGAAGGGTGGGCCCATTCAGGCTGGAGCTGCCTCAGAACAGCTCTGTCTGGCAGAGGGAAGGGGAGGGATGGCCTAGAATTCTAGATGCCTTGGGGGGTGGAGCCCACTGTCTCTGCTATTGACTGGCTGTTTGACCTCAGGCAAAAACAGATGGATCCATGGTGCCCATTGGCTTTGTCTCCCATCAGCAGCCTCAGCCCAGTGCCCTAATATGTCCATCCTCATAGCTCCTTGAATAACTCAGCCAATCAACCAAGTCCATGGTCCTGCCCTGCGAAGGGGGTGGGAACACTGGATTCCAGAAGGCTTCTGTCTCTGTGGGTGGTCTCATATTTTACTGCCACATTAAAGGCACCAGGAAGGAGAATATTATAAACTAGGGCTGCCTGGGGTGGGAAACCCCTAGCTTGAGGTCCCGGGATGTGGTGGTGTGTGAGAGAGATTTATGAGGAGTGGGCACTGCATTCTTTTCCTGCTGCAGCCAGGGAATGAGCACAAATGCGATCTACCTGTGCCAGAGCAGGGCTCTCTGACAGATCCACCAGCCTATGAAGGCAGTGAGGCTAGGTAGCTTCTCTTACTTGAACCCAGAGCTTAGGGATTCTGCTAGTCCAGCTAGGCAGCTGGGATCCTCCTCCAGCCTCCCTGAGACCAGGGATGCAGGCAGGGGCACCATGGCCACTCGTTCACGAGAGTACTGAGGGGTTAAACTCTGGAGCTCTTGCTTATGCAGCAAGCACTGTGCCCAGGGAGCCATGCCCATGGACCCAGGAAACCCTCTCTGCATGATTCAACCTACAGTGATGGACCATTTGCTCTGTGCAGAGCCACCAGGGTCCAAGGAATCAAACACGCAGACCACACAGGGCTTTCTGCCTCCTAGGAGGGAGTGAAACACAGATGGATGATAACAGACAGCGCATCAGCACAGAGATCCTGCTCGGTCCACAGAAGGGACACTGGGCCCAGCACTGGGTGTGAAGTGGGGTGGGGGTGTGGTTCCGATGAGGTGGCCCAGCTAATCCGTCAGTTCATCAGTTCGTCCAATATTTGGTGCCTGTTCTTTGCCAGGGCCTAAGGTTTCAAAGATTGTGTGTGTGTGTGTGTGTGTGTGTGTGTGTGTGTGTGTGTGTGAGAGAGAGAGAGAGAGAGAGAGAGAGAGAGAGAGAGAGAGAGAGAGAGAGAGAGAGAGAGACTAGCAAGGGCAACCATGTTGGGCAAGCACTGGGGTGCCACAGGGAGTGACACATCTTCCTGAGGCACCCCCTTTTTGGGACTGCCCCTGCCTCCTCCTCCGAATGAGGACTTAAAAGATCAATCCTAAAGCTGTAAGGGGGATTTACATTAGGACCCAGATGTAGAGGCATCCGGGAGGCCGCCAAGGATGTGCCAGGGAGATTCTCACCAGCAGGCTGCTGCTGCTGCTGGGGGGAGGGGGATGAGAGAGGCTTCACCTTGCTGGGAGAGGAAGCCCAAG